CATTAATTGTTATCATAATTATAATTAAAGCATCCTATTCATATATCACAGTTAAATAAATTATCTCCGCAATATATGCGAGAAAATTGTAAACTGTTTCATGAAAAGAAAGAGTAAACATTTAACAAAAGCATTAATTGGCATTAATAAATTTGCTTGTTAAAAATTTTAATCATGGCATGCATTTACAACTGATATCTCTTCTCTATCTGTATAACACACAAAAGATGCACTTTCATCAAGCTTTACAAAGATATGTATACTCTGGTAGCAATAGCACAGTCTTGGTTTCAGCTCAACTGACATGAGTTCTAAACATTACAGCTATTAAAAATATATGAAACAGATATACATACTTCCACAGTATTAAATTCCTAACTGAATCACTGCATAATGAAAGTATTAGATTTTGCAAAGGAATGACAAACACACAATGCATACTAAAAATTTTTTAAACATTCATTCTTTTGATTAAAAGCCTTCATGCATTCACTTGTTCGGCAATTTTAAAACACTTACCAAGACTTTAAATTGAAAAGGATACACAAATGGCTAGATACTTAACTACACAAATGCATGTCCCTAAATTTGAATTTAACAACCTATGAACTTCTGACATATTGCAAAAATTAATTAAATTTTTTAAATAATTAACCCTTTCAAGACGGAGGGGAGTCAAAAGGTATCAATGCAACGGATGAGGATTTTGCATCACTATGCTTAACTTAATAAAAAATCCTACAAAAAGAAGTTTAAGCTCAAAGTCATAATTTTGAGTACCATTTTAGATCATTACTTAAGCTGTCATACGTTCAAATTAGCATTTAATAATCTTTTGTTTTTACTTTAGATGAAAATATGAGATAGGATTCAAAAGTTCCTGGACTGAGTCTATAACGTAAAAGAAATTATGAATTAAATTGCAGAAACACATCCCCCTTCGAAATAAGACAATTGCGCAACAACACACTTTTGCCAGCACCTGTAAATCTCACCGAAGCATGTCTAGAACCCATTTTTGACCATGTCCTTTAATTCAGCCTGCGATGCACATTTAACTTCATCTGAAGATGGAAATCAATGACCCTGCAAGTGTCTTGACAGTTCAGGAAATAGGAAGAAATTACAGGGTGCGAGATGAGGTGAGTAAGGAGGGTGAGGCAAAACAGTTCGTTTGTTTTCGTTTTCGCAAGAAAAATCATTGACGAGCAGGGATCAGTGAGCAGGAGTGCTGTCATGCAACAACACCCATGACTGCTCAGTCCACACTTTTGGTCTCTTCTTCCAGAACGGTTCACGCAAATGACACAGGATTTTGGCATAGTTCTTTGTTCACAGTGCGTCCTTCAGGGATAAATTCCACATGCACAATGCCATGGATATCAAAGAATACCTCTAGCATGACCTTTCCTTTAGAGCGATCTTGGTGGAATTTCTGCTTCCGTGGAGATTTGTGATTTGCACATTGCCGATGCTTTCTTAGTTTGCGGGTCATACAAAAAGCACCATTTTTTGTCTCCAGAAACAATTCTGCCAAACAGGGAAGGATCTTTGAAAGGTCCGGAAAACAGTCGATATAAGCCTCCTGCCATTTCCATTCAAATTCCCTTTTGGTCTACGTTTAACATGCACAGAACGATATGTTGACACACCCTACGCATGTTAAGATCCTTAGTCAGTATCTGTTGGCATGTCGCCTCTGGTATCCCAATTAATTCAGCTATTTTGCAATTTGTTTCCTGCCTGTTCGCACGTACCGCCGCAGACACCTTTTTGATGTTTTCATCGGTGCACGAAATCAGGGGACGGCTACAGCGTTCATCGTCTTCGGCACTTTCACTGCCTTCTCTGAAATGACGATGCCAATCAAAAGCTTGTGTTATTGATAACGTTTCACTTCTGTACACATACTTCAACACTACAAAAGTCTCCGTAGCACTCTTACCCAAGTGAACACAAAATTTGATAGATTCTCTGCTCAACTGCTGCCATTTCTTTCTATCACTGGTTACTAAATGTCCCTGCCCACAAAAAATGCTGTCGTCATGAGCTTTCGACCACGATTCGGGACAAACCACTTTTAGAAAAAGAGGAGAATGCAGTAACACAAAAACGTTCTCATAGTCGCACTACTGCAGAAAGTTTTTACGTTATAGACTCGGTCTGGGAACTTTCGAATCCTACAACATATATTATTAAAAAAATTGATTATCTTCTGAAATAATTTCTTGAAGCGCTATTCAAATTATTTTGAAGTTTTAATACATAAAATTCATTAATAAACTTTAAAACTAATGAAAAAGCACAATAAAGACTACTTACAATAAGAAGTAACAAAATTTAAATGAAGACTGAGTGTGGTAAACCTCGAAGCATGGAGAAACGCAGTCCTACATTGCATCACCCACAAACATATGTCTATCACTTTTTTTTTTGTTTGTTTTTCCACAGTTTGTGAACAAACCATGCACTTTCTACTTTCTTTCGCTTTTTTTAACCTTTTTGCTCATATACAGGAAAGGAAAATGCTTACCAGATAATCGGATAGATGCTGCTACGGAATCAAAAGTAAAAAACTACTTTTCTTGATAATTTGTTCAGTTTCGTTTTAAATTGGAGAAACATCATTATAAAGCTGTTTTTTTTTCAAAAAGAATGTTGGAGTTAAAGACTGTTATATCCATCAGCCACCCCCCCCCCAAATTTTCTTGGACCATTTCCCTGATTTTTAAAAAACATGAACAGTATGTCATAACTGTGTCTTGTATGTCTAAACCACCCACGCTTTTGACATAATTTATAATACATTTAAGTTTTAAAATGTGTTCTCAAGTAACTCTTATCTTTTCTGCCAGATTTAGCTATTTCTGGTCCATTTATGCTTGTTAGCATAAAAACGTCTTTTTTTTTTTCCCTTTGAAGGCTATGATGCTCATGTTGTCTCACTGCCTTGCATCAAATTTACCCCTTTTTAGTATTTTCTTGAAAATTCTTTGGGCGTTCTTTTTTGTGTTTTTGATACTGTTCCACAAACATTCATTTTTACGGAATGAAAATATTCAGCAAGTGATGGGGAACTGAAGAAAACTAGTTGCTGCTTAACATTTCTGTCCTTTCCGTAGCAATTCGAAAAATTCCATCCATAACCAGTAACTGATTCCTATAATCTATATATCTTTATCCCATAACACAATCTTTTGGATGGAACATACTGACAAAAGCCAAGACTTCCTTTCCAAGTGAAAAGGGATTCATCAATGCAAATATTTTCCTCCAGTATGTAGTTTCTTTTAAACTTATTCTTTTAGATTTTCTATGATTAGTCCTAGTGTTCTCAACTTTTTAGCACTCTTATCTGAGGTGAAATGCTATGATTTTAAAATGCTCAGGAACATATCTCAAGGCATTACTCTATTGAAAAATGGAGTAGCGAATATTTTATTTGTAATGAAATACATTATCAAATTAGGCTTTTTGATAATGTCCATCAGTGTTATCATTGCACAAAACTTATATTCTCAGTACGTACATCTGAAAATTTGGCTGACTAAGAAGTTGATGGAGGATTTTGAACAAAACTGTTTGTTCCTCCAATAATCAGATTAATTAGATCATCACCAAAGAAAATATTAAAGAAATATATTTCTTTTTCAGCATTTAACTACAGGATTTGTTTCCGGTGTTCAATATATGGGGATGCAATTCGTCAAGCACTGGAGTTCAAGATAAAGTATCCTGAATCGAACTTTCATGGAAAGTTGAAGGCAGGCGCTCAGCAAGCTCTGTCTCTGACAAAATGTCCATATCAGAATTACTAGAACTATCACTTAACTCTTTAGAAATTGAATCATCACTCTCAATTATGTCACTAATTGGCTCATTTACCCTGCGAGTATATTCTTCCTCTGATAAATAATGCATTGTTCTCATAATAAACTAAAAAATAATAGTCAAGGAATTCCAAAATAAAATAGGAAGTACCAGTACCTGAAATAGATCTGAAGAAATAGATCTGAAATAGAAGGTATGAAGGCAACACAAAGTGTAACAGAACCCAGATAGTAATCTTAAAAGACCATACATAGTAGTGAAAGAAAAAAAGATTTGAAAATATAACAGATATGCAAATATTTATAGTATCATGTGGCGAGCAACAGAGCTGAGCTCAGTTTACATTATGCTTCTCTGCCTCCCCCTCAACAGCTGATGAGTAAAATACCAAAGTCAGGCCAAATGTGCACAAACTGAAGATCTAAACATAAAGTACAAACTGAAGATCATGATCCTAAAACCATGTTCAGTTCCAAAGTAATGGACATAGGGTGCCATCTAGTGGTCTTTAAAAGAGTTTCCAGGTTAAAATGCAGATATCCAATGCCCATCCCCTGAATTCATTCTCTAGTGATGCATGAAAGGAACATCTGGCTGTGACACATTCGCAGGGAATGTGTATATGGGACGGCCGTCTGGAAAGGGTTAAGTCTGTCTAAAAAACTCTCAGTTTGAAACTAACAAATAAAGAGCAATACTGAAAAACATTTAAAACATACTGCCAAATGTTTATCACTTAAGATTATGCAATATAATTAAAATTACTATAAAGAAGGTAATCCTCACCTTATCAACTGAATTTCCTTCATAAGCTCTAAAAAAATAAATATAATTTTTAACAAGGTATAAAAGCTCTTTCGACAAATTACATTCAAAATATTATTATTAAAGAAAAATGCAACATAAAAAGGTCACTCGATGTTACGGAAAATTATACATAAAGATATTTTTATATTAATAAAATACAATAAACAAAAATAGTTTATTCATGGTAGACTGAATTAAATGTTTTAATTGTTGACTTAATCATTAGACTCTCATGACAAGTATATATGGTAACAAAATTCAACAAAATAATTTGTTAACATTTACCTCAGTGTATTAGAGACAGGAATAGGATTAGCCAAGGAAGGCAAATTACCTAGAATATAAATACATGAATTAAATTTTGGAGAAAAAAAAATGAAAACAAAAAAAGGGTTAACAGCAGATATAATGCAAAATAAATTACAAAATTAAGAGTGATACAGAGCTACTTTTAGAGGATTTCTAAACATTTCATTTCCACTGATGGCCCCTAAAATTGCTACAAAAGGAAGGATGGCAAACAGCAAAACCTTATTTATTATACATACAAAGTATAATGAGAGCAAGACAATTTATTTTGTAGGTTGTTTGGGGTGCACAGTGTTCAGAATTTGGTATGCAGAGATGTCATTTTCTGCAGCTGTAATTCAGCTGTGCATCGACTCAAGATGAGCTTGGATAACAGATATAGGTACTTTATTCCAAGTTGCTTCAACTCTATGTTGGTGGTTGTATATGCCCAAGTGGTGTCATCAGTGGCATAGCTAGGGTGAGGCAAAGGAGGACACCTGTCCCCTGGCACAGCATCCAAGGGGTGCCAAACTGATTCTACGAAATTTTTTTCTTTCTTGGCACATGGAAAGGGGTGCAAATTCCTCAGTTGTCCCTGGGTACTGGAAACTCTAGCTATGCACCTGGATGGAATGCATCTCTCGGTAATCCATGAACAAATGTTCACAGTGGGTAAGAGATCTGGAGAATGGCAACAGCTGAACACACTCTAAAGCAAGGAAACAGGGCAACAGATGAACACCCTTTATATCAAGGAAGGTCAGGACAACATGTGATCCTACATTATCTTGTTGAAAGACGGTGTTACACGGCCTCTAAGTTATTGCACAGATATGGACTTGAACACATCAGAAATGTAATGGCAGCTGCCCACATTATTGGCTACATGAACAAGAAGTGGTCGACATATGTATTCAATGGCCCATTACACCAATACACAAGGTGTTGATCCATATGACAATGGCAAATCAAAGGTGGCAACATTTGCTCTCCTTGGTGAAATCCACACATGGATACATACATCCTGATGCTGTACACAGAAACATGTTCCCCCATAGCACAAAACATCCTCAGGATGTCCTATTTAAGTCGCAATATCCCGGGACATACTTGGGATGTCCTAAGGATGTTGATTCTCAGATGTCCTGAGATCATAATTTAACATCCTGAGGATGTCTCATTTAAGTCGCTATGTCCCGGGATATGACAGGATGTCCTGAGGACTTCACCAATTTCACATACTGAGGACATTCATTCTGCATTGTCCAGAGGACTTCCGTTGTCAAACATTTTGTGGATATTTGTTCTCAAATTTACCAGTTTTAATTTTTTGACATTGCACATCTCAAACTTGCACATTGTTTAATTTTCATATGTATTTTACTATGTTGTTTCTAAATGCTGTACATTAAAAATATTGATATTATTGATGATTATTCTTGTTATTTTGTATAATTTTAACTGCTATTTTTTCTGACGTTTTTAAAAAAATTTATTAGTCATGGAAAAGATTTTTTCAATGGATTAGCATTTTCTAGATATTTCAAAATTCTAAAATAACATACATTTTTTTATAAAATGTATAAATTACATGTATAATTACTTACAGATTACAAACCTTACTATAAATATAGGTAAAATTATATATATATATATTAATTACGGAAATGAATTTTTTTTTTTAATTTGGGTATAGAAATTATGCATTTTTTTGGAAGCAGGAAGGTGAAAAATTAGCAACTGCCTTCGCGGGGAATCGAACGGAAGGGAATACCGGCCCAGTGTGCATAACCACTATACCACGAAGACACGCTAGGAAAGCGGGAGAAATACCTTATATTACTCCCTTTTTAAAGGGTGATTTTTTTAAGGGACCATCACTAAATCCTGGGGTGGATATACCTCATCCAACACCTCTTTAGTTCGGGCGCCACTGTAGAGGACATTATGATTTTTTGGAAGCCGTAGAGATGAAAAATTAGCAACCGCCTTCGCCGTGAATTGAACCACGGACCTCTGAAATACTGGCCCAGCGTGCAGAACCATTTCACCATGAAGGCACGCTAGGAAAGCGGGAGAAATACCTCATAAGAAAAATTTTTCCCCTAATTACAGGACAGAAAATGTTTTTCAATCGCACAATCTGTTATTGATATTGAATTACAGTCGTGCGATAATTTCGCAGTAAAAATAATTCTCTGATGACTATCCAAGATTCTAGAAACTTTGGTCTTATATAGAGATGGTCGTCTTATAGAAATAATGCTTAATATCAATATTTATTTATAATCTCACAACTTATGGTCACTTTCAGAAGTGGTCGTTTGAGAGGCGATATTCTATATATTTATTTACTGATACTCTTAGATTCCAAAATTTGTTTATATTCTCAGAAGTATTGGACAGAAGGTGGTCGCCACATACATGCAAAAATTTACATTTCATTAAAAATGAATTCATCATTATTTAACTATTTACCTATTAATTAATTAATTAATTAGATAAAGAAAAAATTATGAAATAGTACTGTTTATTACGGAATAATGTAGGAAGTTCTGCAGAACTATATTCTTTTGCGTCATTGCACATTGTATCCGGCAAACTACTAGTTCCTCGTATTCTTCCGCAAATCCGTAAACGTCTGTCTGATTTGAAACGAAATCCAAAATGGCTGCGCTATGAGGTTAACTTGTATGGATATTTTTTGTTGCACGAAAGGTAAGTTCACTTGCAATACTTGTATGTTTACTTCTTTTGCTTTTCGAATTTATGTCATTTTGACAGTTAAATGTGTTAGCTATCACAGCTTTATGAATTGTTATCATTCTGTCGTGAATTACGTGTATATCTCAATGGCTGGCTGTCTTTTCAAATATCTAATTTGCCCTGCTATCCAAATGTTTATGACTGAATTTTTTTTAGTCTAGTTTATGCTTCAGTTTCAAAATAATATGTGTGATCATATTGCTTATTATTTTATTGCAGCAATAAATTTATGTTAAATAGTTTGAAAAATTGTATAAAAATAAGAGTTTGCATTGTTTTGTCCAAAATATGTATGGTTGAAACACTATCTTTTTGGGGGTACTGTTCTGTTATCGGGACCAGAATGTGTGTTCGTGTTTGTTGATGCATATGTGTATATAGTATACAAGCATACATAAATACATTTCTGAACCCGGTCCTGATAACAGAACAGTATCTTTTTTGAATATTTTATAAAAGGATTAAGCATTTTTCAAACTGCATATCATTTTAAGATTCGACTTGCAGGAAGACAAAGTATGGTCATTCAATCAAATGCTTATGATTGCATTTTTATACATTTTCTATTGTTTGAACATGAGAATATTAGGAAAGCTGAAGAATATGAATAGCTACCATAATACATGTATTTTTCATCGAGCCCATTGTTTTAGAAACCAATGCACCATTATTATATGCTGGCTTATTTTATAGTTATATGCAGTTTAATTTTATGTTCATGTTACTGTAGTATTGTCATTATAATAAAAGTATATAATTTTGTTGAATCTTGCAAGTTGCCTAACATTCAGAATTATTACTACCGAATTTTACTGATAGGTTTTTTTGAGTTGACATAATCTGTCTGATAAATAAAATAAACTGGTGTTTAAATTATATGCATTTCTCTTAATGTTTCATTGAAAGTGAGATGGAAATATAAATGCTATCCAGAAAAGTGAATTCTTTTTGCCTGAAAATAAAATGTACTAAATGATTAATGTTTATATCATTTTAGAAATGAAATATTAAAGTTTCTCCCCTTTTCTTCTTTGAAATAAATAATATAAATAATATATGCATAAGTGTGTAATTAATGTAAAGTGTCATTCAATAATATAATTTATTTTTACTGATATTTTTATATTTCTTATCTGGGTTTTCTTTTGGTGTTAGAAGGAGGAAAAGTGTAATGTTTTTAATTAAGGAAATAATTAAAACATTACAGTCTTTTAAATAACACAGTTACAGTAATGTTTATTGAAGCAATCAGTACTGTGTGATTGCCAGTGATTGAATAATGTTAAAATGCATTGTTCATAAGGAAATTTGCTTATCTTTGTGTTATAGATTTTATTTTGACACAAGCTGAAATTTGAATTATTAAGCACTTTGAAAACCTGAATCATTAATCAGGCCAATATATATATAACATACAAATTTTCATACAAAATTATTTCTTTGAGCATATTCTAAAGAGCTCATTTAATTTTATTATTTTTACAAATTTTAAGACAAAAATAGCATGTAACAGTTAAAGATTTATTGAAGCCTACTTGTTACTTGTGGTAACAAAGAAGTGTGAAAGATATCGTCACATTAGCGAACATGACGATCATTGATGCTTAGTTTAGTAATTTAATAATATACTTGAGAAATGCTGGGAACTTTCAGAAGTAGACATTTCGGAAAATGATGGGCTTGATAAGAAATTTACATGGTTTTATTATTTATTTTTTAGTTAAGAATGGATTTTAGATGTTCATGTGAAAGAATTCTGTTTAATTATATGTGAAAGAATTGTTAAAGTTTGGCATTTAAAAAAATGAATTAATAATATGCAATTATCTTTTTATTATACATATATTATCTAATGCAATATGTAAATGTCAGTGCTAAACAATTGAGATACTACTTGTCAGGGCAATCTTTTTCTTATACATGAAAAATTCTGATACTTTCTTATCATCTGCCCTCACAGCTTCAACTTATGCTAAAACAGCAAGAGTATGCACACGATAATAGCAAACTATGAATATGCATACCACACACATGTATTTACATGCTTTATATTTAATCTTTATTTCTGAATAGTATTCCATTGGATGAAAAATATGTGAATATTGACCCAATATATATACATTTTTGTGTGTGTGCATCCTAAAATTTCTTGTTCTTATAAAGTGCTTATTTGAATTACTACTTGTGAACAGAGCAGTAGATATGAACCATAAAACTAACCATTTTGCCAATTTTCACAGCTTTGCAGATAGTCAGAAAGCACCAAAATTTGTAATA